ATGTATTTATTTATCTGTTTATCTATCGTTTTATCTATCGTATATGTTTTTTCCTTCTCGTCCCCCATCTATATGTTTTTTTCCTTCTCTCTACATTTATCTCTCTTTTTCCTTTCCACATTCCTTCTCTTTTCCTCCCTCCCTCTTTTTTTCTTTTTGTCTCTCTCTTTCCCTCCTTCCCTCTCTTTCTCTCACTCACTCTTCCCTCCATTCCTCTCTTCCTCTCTGCTTCCCTTTCTAATTATCCCTCTTTTTATTTCCTTTTTCTCTCTTTTCCTCGCTCCTTCTCTTGATCCCCCTCCTTCTCTTTCCCTCCCTTTCTCCCTTTCTTTCCCTCCCTTTTTGTCTCTCTTCTCCTGTTGTCTCTCTCTGTCTCTCTTCTTCTCCGTCCCTTTCTTTTTGTCTCTCTCCTTCCCTCTCTTTCTTTCTCCTTCTCTTTCACTCCCTTCTCCTCCCCTTATCTCTCTCCTTCTTCCTCTTTCCCTCCTTCCTCCCTCATTCTCCCTCTCCATTTCCTCTCTCCCTCCCACTTTGTCTCTCTCTTTCTCTCCCTTTATCCCTCTCCTTCTCATTCCCTCCCTTTATCCCCCTCTCCTTCTCTTTCTCTTCCCTTTATCTCTCCCTTCTCTCTATCTCCCTTTATCCCTCTCCTTCTTTTTCCCTCCCTTTTTGTCTCTCCCTTTAACCCTCTCCTTCTCTTTCCCTCCCTCTCTCTATCTCCCTTTATCCCTCTCCTTCTCATTTCCTCCCTTTATCCCTCTCCTTCTCTTTCTCTCCCTTTATCTCTCCCTCCCTCCTCTATCTCCCTTCCCTTCCTCTCTTCTTTTTCCCTTCCCTTTTTGTCTCTCCCTTTAACCCCTCTCCTTCTCTTTCCTCCCTTCTCTCTATCTCCCTCTTATCCCTCTCTTCTCAATTCCTCTCCCTTTATCCCTCTCCTTCTCATTCTCTCCCTTTATCCCTCACCTTCTCATTCCCTCCCTTTATCCCTCTCCTTCTCATTCCTCCCTTCATCCCCTCACCTCTCTCATTTCCCTCCCTTCCATCTCTCCCTCCTTCTCTTTCCCTCCCTCTTTCTCTCCCCTCCTCGCACTTTCTCATCCCCCCCATCCCTCACCTTCTCATTCCCTCCCTTTATCTCTCCCTCCTTCCCACCCGCGATAGACTATCTTTTGAATGAGTTGCAACCTCAAGACCTGTTCTCTACCTGTGACATCCTCTTCCAAACAGGTTTTCCTCCGAGACAAGACACTCGCCAGTTCAGCAGCCGGAGCTCCTTGGAAGAAAAAGAAAAACGACGACCCAACCAAACACTCATACCAGTTCTATCTCGCCCGGTGTTGTGATCTCATTATCAAAATAGGTTCTTAGGATCCAAAATTCTCTTCAGGTTGTTGGTTGGTTGTTCCAAAAGCTCTCGTCCTGTATATCTCGACGACTTTAAAAGCGGGAGAAGGTGTGTTATTATTGGTGTTATCTGTGAAGCAAATTTGATTTATTTTGCTATCTGGGTTTGAGCTCAACTAGCCAACCTAATAAAGAGGGGGGGGGAAGAAATGGGAGGGGGGGGAAAGGAGGGGATAGAAAGTGGAATAAAGAATAGTCATCCATACTATCTCTGCAACATGGCTAGGAAGATCGAGAGATATTTTTTGGACTCGAGATGGAAGTGAACTGCCATTGGGAGAGACAAATGTGTGGTCAAGAGATTTTGCTTCAGATAAATGGCTATGATGTGATTTTAAAGATTTTAGTGAAAAATAAATCTTATTCTTTTCCCTTTTTTCATATTTTTAAAAAAGATTTTAGTGAAAAAAATCTTATTCTTTCCCCTTTTCATATTTTAAAAAGATTTTAGTGAAAAATAATATTCTTTTCTCTTTTTTCATATTAAAAAGAAATAGATTTTAGTGAAAAAATCTTATTTTCCTTTTTTTCATATTTTTAAAAAGTTTTTAGTGAAAAAATATTATTCTTTTCCCTTTTTTCATATTTAAAAAACATAGTAAAAAATATTATTCCTTTCCCTTTTTTCATATTTTTTTTAGTATCATTTCTCTTCTTCTCTGATTCTTGTATCCGTTTTTTTTTTTTTTTTTTTATCTTATCTTCGTATGTATATTTTTGTAAGATTTTATTTTTCTTCTTTTTGTAAGAATTCATTTGGTTCTGAGTTTCGTTAAAACAAACGTCCTTTTTCATTTTCTTGTAAGTAGCTATTCCTTTCTTTTAAGTATATATATTTTCTTTTTCTCGTAATTATCAGTCTTCCTCATGCGCTAAAGTATCAGATTTTGTTCTATTTTCTGATTTATTTTTTATCCACTTCATCTGATTCTTGTCCGTTTTTTATTATTATTCCCTCGAGTATCCTTTTTTTTATCTAACTCTGGAAGGGATAATTTTTGTAGTTATCTGTTTTTTATTCTCTTTTATTTATTTTTTTCTTCATCATTGAAGGCTGTTATCATGTCACGTGCGAGAGGAAAATGTCAGCTGATTAGAATTTTCTTTTGTGCGTCTTTTGAGCTGATCGCCTCTCTCTCTCTCTCTTCTCTCTCTCTCTCTCTCTCTCTCTCTCTCTCTCTCTCTCTCTCTCTCTCTCTCTCTCTCTCTTCCTCTCTTCTCATCTCTCTCTCCTTCGACTCTATCTATCTATCTCTACTCTCTCTTTCTCTCTTTCTCTCTCTCTCTTCTCTCTTCTCTCTTCTATCTCTCTCGTATCTCTCTCTATCTATCTCTATTATCTCTATTCTCTCTCTTCTCTTTCGTCTCTTCTCTCTCTTTCTCTTTCTCTTTCTCTTTCTCTCTCTCTCTATCTCTCTCTCTCTTTATCTATCTCTATCTATCTCTATCTATCTCTATCTTCTCCTTTCTCTCTTTCTATCTCTCTTCTCTCTCTCTTTCTCTTTCCCTCTTCTCTCTCTCGTCTATCTCTCTCTCTCTCTCTCTATCTATCTCTATCTCTCTATCTCTCTCTTTCTCTCTCTCTCTCTATCTATCTATCTATCTATCTATCATATAGATAGATAGATAGATAGATGTAGATAGATAGATAGATGAGGAAAAAGAGAGAGGGACATATGTAAAGAGCAATTATGACAAAGGAGAAACGGAAAAGAAAGGAAACACAAGTGGCCAAAAATATGAATAATAAACGACAGACAAACGAACAAACAAAGAAAACAGAGAGAAAGAGATAGAGACGGAGACAATAGAGCAGATAGAAGAATGGAAAAAAGATATGGGGAAAAGGGGAAATGAGACAGAGATAAAGGGTAGCAGAGATATAGAGAAGATAGATAGATAGAGAGAGAGAGAGAAGGGAGAGAGAGAGAGAGAGGGAGAGAGAGAGAGACGAGAGAAGAAAGAGAGAAGAGAGAGAAAGAGAGAGAGATGAATGAGAGAGAAAGAGAGAGAGAGAGAGAAGAGAGAGGGAGAGGAGAGAGAGAGAGAGAGAGAAGAGAGAGAGAGAGAGAGAAGAGAGAGAGAGAGAGAGAGAGAGAGAGAGAGAGAGAGAGAGAGACAAGAGAGAAGAGAGAGAGAGAGAGAGAGAGAAGAGACGAGAAGAGAGAGAGAAGGAGAGAGAGAGAGAGAAAGAGAAAGAGAGAGAACTAGAAAGAAAAATGAAACAAACAGGCAGATAGACAAACAGAAACAACCCAAAAAAATCAATCAGAGAAAAGACAGAAATACAAAAAAAAAAAAAAAAAAAGAATAATAATGATAAACAATAAATAAATACAAATAGAAATAAAAAATAAAAAAGTAAAAATAACAGACAAACAGACAGACAGACCTAACGACAAGCAGACAAACAGACGCACACACACACACACACACACACACACACACACACACACACACACACACACACACACACACACACACACACACACACACACACACACACACACACACACACACACAACCCCCTTCTCCATCCATTATTCATTATTATTCACAAAATGTCAGTAATAATGGCCAATGAACTTCTAGTATCGCAGAATTTATAGCACAGTTCAGTAAATCATTAAGTGTATTAGATACCATCTCTAAGCCGCATAAATTATCTTTACAACTTGTCTAAGGACGCGAGAGGTCCATCAGCAGCGCTTATTACAAGTGTTACGGGAGAGGTTGTGGCCCGGGTTACAACACACAACAGTTAGAGGAGCGTGTGTGCGTCTCTCGAGCTGCTAATTTGCATAAATTATTGTGACCTCGTGGAAGCAAAACAATGGTAGCCTTGTTTGTAGCCTCGACCTTTTTGGTGTCTTGCATGACTGCATCGACTGACATTTGTCATGAACCGTTGTCGATGGTCTATATATGCTATATCATATTATATTTTATATGTTCTCTTCTCTCTTCTCTCTGTCTCTCTGTCTCTGTCTCTCTCTCTCTCTCTCTATTTCTTTCGATCTCTCTCTCTCTTTCTGTCTCTGTATCTGTCTCTGTATCTCTCTCTCTCTCTCTCGAGCTTTCTTTATCTCACTCTTTCTAATTCTTGTTCATCCCACTGCTCTTCATGTACGATTTAGTTTGTCTCCAGTATACCTTTTGTTGATGTGTGTGTGTGTGTGTGTGTGTGTTTCGGTGTGCGTTTAAGTGTGTCTGTGTTGGTTATACGCTGCGTAACTTGTGCGTTTGTCTGTCTGTGTCTGTGTCTGCGTATATGAGCGTGTCCGAATGTGTACAAACGCGTAGGTCCACAGAGAGAGAGAGAGAGAGAGAGAAAAAAAAAAAAACTTCACAACCTGTAGCCTTTACAACTCGTGATGATTTAGAACCCATATTCCAGCGAGCGACTGTTCTTCTTAATCATCTAATCGCATAGAAAGACGTCCGTTGAACACTTCACTGAGCCATGAACTCCTCGTAAACTTTTTCATGTTGAGAGGTGATAACATTTAGTGATAGCGGGTTTGTGCACCTCAGGTAACATCAATTACCACCTGGCAACACCGTGGAACACTTGATAAGCTCTAGCCATTGAACAGAGAATAAATGTGTGTCTTTCGAGAAACGAGTTGTAAACTACTCGTTTGCCTTTAAAGAGGTTCAAATGCTCGAGAACATGAAGTAGAATCATTATCGTTTAATGTACAAGAGTTCAGTATTTTCGCCTTTGGGGAATATGACGAAAAACCCAGTTTGTTATAACGAAAAAATACAAGAAGCATTGTAAAACCTACATATGCAAAGGCGATGTAAATGAGATGAGAATAAAATGTGATAAAAGATAGAACAATAAAAAGATTCTGGAAAATTAAAATCTAAACTGGAATAGCAATTATGAACAGTCAGTTATGATAATGGTCGTAGCGGTAGTTACAGAATAGAATCAACAATGATAGTGTGCTAAAAATTATTACGAAACTAATTATATAATTATGAAAATACAAATAATAATATGAATTAGATTTCAAAAGATATATCAGGTAAATAACTAAAGCTAAATAACTGCACAAAAAAAAAAAAAAAAAAATGATAATAACAAATAAATAAAAAGAATAAAAAAAACACATAGTACTTAAGTAAATGCGAAAATGAAAGCACCCAAATAGATATTTCTGTGAATATGTTGCAGCGTGTACATATACACTGCAGATAAATTAATGGAGTTATGTGCGAATTTATACTGTTCATAGTTTATCGTGAGGAGGGGGATAAATAGATACATATGAATATTGTGTATTTATGTATATACATGTATATGTATACATGTATAATATAAATATATATATATATATATAATATATATATATATATATATATATATTATATATATTATATATATGCACGTATATATGTACATATATTACATATATATATATATTATATATATTATATATATATAATATATATATATATAAATATAACATACATATATATATATATATATATACATATATATATATATATATATATATATATATATATATATATATAATATATATTATACATATATATGTATACATGTATAAAATACATACATATATATATACATATATATATAGATAATATATATATACATATATATTTGTGTATATATATACATGTATATATATACATACGAGCAAACACGCGTACATGCGCACACGCACACATAATATATGTATATACATGCATGTATACATATTGTATATATATGTATATGTATATATATATGTATTATACATACATATATAATATATATAATATATATATACTATGTATGTATGTATGTATATGTGTGCGTACATACATACATATATATATAGATAGATAGATAGATAGATAGATAGATAGACAGATAGATTATGTATATATATATAATACATATACATATATATACAATATATGTATACATGCATGTATATACATATATGTATATGTGTGCGTGTGCGCATGTACGCGTGTTTGCTCGTACGAACCCATGTATATTTTCCATTTGTGCGTCAGCATTACACAGAAGCGGCATCTGTAAACATGAAGTGTATCATTCATGGTCAATCAGTGTTAAAAATCAGTGTATGAAACCACCCAATTATTCAAACAAACAAGGCTTTATAAACTGAATAATAATTGTAATGAAAATGATGATAATGATAATGAACACTAAAAAAAAAAAAAAAGAATTAAAAAAAATGAAGCTAGATTTAGGACCTAAGCAACCTACCCCTAATGACAACAGGAGACTAGACAAAGGTCCACATAAACTAACTAAACAATTTAAAAACCAATTCAATTTGCTGCGGACACACCTAGAGCCACGCCACAGAGAGCCAGACGAGCATAGGCATCATCATCATTACCATCCAAAACCCATAATGTTTATTCAATACGACTAATCCTTTCTACTGACTAAGTGCACGTATCGTTTATTCGTCGTGGAAGGATGAGGTTGGAGACCCGAATGAATCGAGGAACTCCTTTTAAAAACCCTCCCCCACGATCCCTTGCTCACACGCCCCCCTAACCGGGCCCACAGTACAGGAGGACCCGTCTTCAGAATCCCTCCCGAAGGACCGAGGAACTCCTTTTAAAAAACCCTGACGACGACCTTCGTTTGCTCGTCATCCTTATATCCTTCATCCGTAGGGTGAGGATAAAGAACCCCCTCAACCCCACCCAACCCCCCCTCCGGCCCCAGTACAGGAGGACCGTCTTCAGAATCCCTCCCGAAGGACCCGAGGAACTCCTTTTAAAAACCCTAGAGAAGGACGACCTCCGTTTGCACCTCTCGTCACCCTTATATCCTTCATCCGTGAGGTGGAAGGATAAGGAACCCCCCCACCCCACACCGACCCCCCCTCCGGCCCACAGTCCAGGAGGACCCGTCTTCAGAATCCCTCCCGAAGGACCCGAAGAACTCCTCCAAAGAACCCTAAGAGGAAGGACGACCTCGTATGCACCTCTCGTCCGGACCCCGTTATGTACGACGACACTCGGGCAATAGAATACCCGAAGAACCCAGCTGACAAATTTGCCCGACGTCCTCTGCCTGGAGGGGGAGTATCCGGGAGCGAGGAAAATAGGAGGAGAAGAAGAAGGAGGAGAGGAAGAGAGAGAGAGATGAGAGAGAGAAGAGAGAGAGAGAGAGAGAGAGAGAGAGAGAGAGAGAGAGAGAGAGAGAGAGAGAGAGAGAGAGAGAGAGAGAGAGAGAGAGAGAGGGGGGGAGAGAGAGGAGAGAGAGAGGGAGGAGAGAGAGAGAGAGAGAGAGAGAGAGAGAGAGAGAGAGAGAGGAGAGAGAGAGAGAGAGAGAGAGAGAGAGAGAGAGAGAGAGAGAGAGAGAGAGGAGAGAGAGACAGAGACAGAGACAGAGAGAGACAGAGACAGAGACAGAGAGAGAGAGACAGGAGGAGAGACAAAGAGAGAGAGAGAATGAGAGACGCATTGTCATGACCAGCGGAGGAGCGTCCCTTGAATCCGATGCCCGGGCGTGTATGGGAATCACGTCCCGTTGACTCTCCATTATTGACTAACTACTTCCTGCTCCAGACCATAAAGCGGCCCTTTGCTTGGCGAGTCATAAGGGGACTAAGCGACTAATTGGTAGCGGGCGTGACGTGGGAACAGAACGAAGAGTAAGGATGGAGGAACATGAGATTAGCATGCGTAAGAAGTCGCTCCTCTCATACATGCATGTCTTCCTCTTGATCTGACAGCTTCGGGAAATGGTCATGCCTCGGAAATGGGTAATTAGATAACGGTAGACGTAAAAAAAAGACGAAGGAAAATACGTAAAGAATCGTATAAACTGGATAAAGTCTAAATTGATAATCTAAAATCTATATATAATAAAGGTCTGAGAACCCAGTATTGGTAAAAATAAAGGATAAAGTCTAAATTGATAATCTAAAATCTATAAAATCTATATATAATAAAGGTTTGAGAACCCAGTATTGGTAAAAATATCAAAATACGTAATAATGATACTAGCTGTCGCTGATAATGGTGATGATAGTTGCAATAACGACAATGAAGATAAGAATGATGATGAAAATGATGATAATAGTAATAATAATGATAATTATAATAACAATGGTAATAGTAACGATAGTGATGATAATGATAATAAGAATAATGATATTAATGATAATTATGATAATGATAATAACAATGATGATAATGATAATAATAAAGATGATGATAACATTAATAATGATAGTGATATTGATGATAAGGATAAAAATAATAATACCAATAATAATAACAATAATAATAATAACAAAACAACAACAACCACAAGTATGATAAATACAAAAATATAAATGATAATAGTTACAATAATATCAGGTTTTTTCTATAGCAAACCTGCGCAGCAATAATAACCTACATATTATTTAAACATACCGCTCTCATAATCCTCACAAACAAACACATAACAACAATATAACCGGTAATCCTCATACCCAAAATAAAGCTTTCTATCCAGGAAATGCAACATTGCAAAATCCCTGCCTCTGTTTTGCGCCCCGAGCCATATTGCAAGCCACAGTCATGCTGGGATGGGCGCTGCTCCACGTTTCGACATCTCGTAAAAACGTTTTCCTGCAACGTTTATTTTCTCTGTTATGGGAATCGAGATGGTAATAAAATGGAGGCGGAATTCGGGTTGGGAACCGAATCGCTGTGTCTCGATTTTTTTTTTTTTTTTTGTTGAGGGGGAGGGGCTGTTTTGTCTTGTATGTTTGTTCTCTTCTCTCTCTCTCTCTCTTCTCTCTCTCTCTCTCTCTCTCTCTCTCTCTCTCTCTCTCTCTCTTCTCTCTCTCTCTCTCTCTCTCTCTCTCGATTCGTTTTTCTTTCTTCGTTTTTTTACGCATTCTCTTTCGTGTTTTGTGCTTTTACGTTTCTTCGCATTTTTCGTCTTTTTCCTCTTATTTCTTCTTTTCTTCTTTTTTCTTTCACCCCTCCTCCTCCTTCTTCTTCGCCATCTTTCTCCATTTTCACTTATTCATCTTCGTCTGCTTCTTTTCTTCTTCTTTCTCTTCTATTTTTTTTTTTTTTTTTTTTTTTTTTTGCCATGTCCCGATTTTCAAAAATCTATTTCTCCCTTTTTTCCATCTATTCCTCTCTATCTACCTCTTCTTTTTTCCTTCTCAATATTCTTCTCTTTACTTCTCCCTCGCTCTTATTTGCTTTATCATTATCATTAATATCTGGGCCTTGGAATTGGCGAAGGGGGGGCGGGGAGCGGGGGGGTGATTGGAAAAGATTCGAAACATCTAATCAGTTTTATGTTTGAAAGTGCATATTTGTCTTTTATTTGAGCTTAGATTTATATTATTAGCTATTGGCATGCAGATAATGCTAATCACATTAATGCCAACTTGCTCAAGACCTTATTGTTTTTGTATATATATATATATATATATATTATATATATATATATATATTAATATATATATATATTATATATATATATTATAATAGGAGAGAGAGAGAGAGAGAGAGAGAGAGAGAGAGAGAGAGAGAAGAGAGAGTATATATATAATATTTATTATATATTATATATTATATATATACAGAATAGATTTTAAAATGTCCGTGTCTTTCTCTACATTGTATACTTTTCTTAATATTGATCTTTCTATAAACCCG